CTGTGCAATTCATTAAATCAATAAATTAATTTTTATTTTTATTTTCATTTTCATAACAATTTTTAATCAATAATTTATTGTTAAAATTCAGTCGGGTAAATATTTATAATCAATGAATTTTATAATAAATATTTAATAATTTTCATAATAAATTTAGATGTGCAATACAGATCAGTCATAATATTATTTTATATCTACAAGACAATGGAAATTATTAAGTATGGAAATAGAAAGTTGAAAAATGGAGAAATCGAACTGAGGGAGCAACAGCAAGAAGCCAGCAGCAGCGGTTTGAGTGGCGCTCTGTCTTTCTTTTAATCATTTATTGGTTCAATTCCTCTGTTTTGACTGTTCCTCTAACAGCTGGGCAGAGCCGAGCAGGACTGGAGGAGAAGTTAAGCAGTTTCTTGTGGGTGGATGTGAGATTTGTTGGAGTAAAAAATAAGGAAGAGAATGGATATGTACCATCCGAGTCAAAGGCTCTCACCACATGAAGAAATGCTTAATAATCTCAGTCACAACGGCGTAGGAGAGCCTTACCTCGTCTTGACTTCCGATCCCAAGCCTCGTCTCCGTTGGACTGTTGACCTCCATGACCGATTCGTCGATGCCGTCACTCAACTTGGCGGCCCCAATAGTAATATCTCGATTTCTTCTTTCTGGGTTTTTGTTCCTCGCCTCTAATTTTTCATTTTCACCACTTCTCGTTGCCTGCTTTATGCAACCTTGAGAGCTAAACATTTGTGCTTGTGCAACAAGACTAGATGTATTAGGTGGTTGCCTATTAACTGGCCTGGGAGATGTGATTATCTGCTCTAGTTTACTTTCTCTCAGGCTTGTAGGCGAATTGACTGGTTGAGTTTGCTGAAACAAAGTAAAAAATATTACTTTGTTGAAATAAACTTGATTTGAGCTAACACCTGGCATTGCACAACTTATTCTAGTTTGTGATCCAAGTTCCCTGTAGCATGTGTTGGCAAAACTAGGAAGGGTAGAGTTAGAAATTAGTATATACCACTGTAAGTTGGGATATATTTTATAGAAGTTTAGTAGAATTTTTCTTAATGGTGGTTTGGTCGTATATAAGCAGATTGAGGAATTCTTCTATTTGAAGGATGGAGCACATTGATATTGCACAGGGTAAAAGTTTGAAGGAGAATAGGAAAAGACACGGGTGGAGGTGGTAACAAATGATAGGGAGTTATTCAAACTTGAAGAGAGGATTATAGTTGCTAGGAACAGATGAAGAACAATGATTCATGTATGTGACCCAATGTGAATTTTTGTCTGGATTTTATACCCAAGTAACCCAACCTTAAGTGTATTAGAATTAGAGCATATTAATTGGGAAACTAATAGGTTCACAAGCAGAATTAAGGCTACAACAGGTAACATGTCTTTGTTTTGCTGCTAGAAAATTGTTTCTTAATTTTCTGTTGGCAATTGGCATCAAACAGAATCTGAATGAATTGTCAAGGATAAAATACTTGATTTGTCTTACATTTGAAAAGATTACAAAAACTCTAAATATTGTGCTTGTTTATGCTTTATTAGGTTTAGCTATGCTATTAGCAAAGCCTTCTGTGTCTCTAGTTTTCCTGATTGTTTCAATGATTCAAGTCCCGGTCCCCTATCTTTTCTATGAATAAGGCTGTAGCTTTGTTCCTCCCCCGCTGTCAAATCAGACGTCAGTAAATGTCATCCAGCATTCATGCTTGTTAGTCTTATATATGTTGTCATATTACTTTCATACATGCATTGTCTTGTTGGAATCTTCCATGCTTAACCATGTGATTTTGCTCTTCTTGAGTATCTGGTTTGGCCTATGTTTTTATGTTAAGTCTTTTTTTGGCTAACCATACTTATAATTAATTCAGTATTTTATATGATCCGATTATGCATTACTTCTACAGAAGCTACACCAAAGGCTATCATGAGGACAATGAATGTGAAAGGATTAACTCTTTTTCATTTAAAGAGTCACCTCCAGGTTTCTTCATTCTTGTCAATCTTTACCTTGTCAAAAGAATTACAAACTTGTGCTTTCTATTAAAAAGATTCTCTTATGGACGTGTTATACTTTGGTATGTTCACTGTCGTACAGAAATACAGGTTAGGTAAGCAATCAGGGAAGGAAATGGGTGAGGGACCAAAAGATGGTTGGTTCTGCTCCAACTCTTTTTATTTCATTTGTCTTGCTTGAATCTTAATTTTAAGTTTCTTTCACCAAAATGATTTACTTTCCTGTCCATCTTTTCAGATTTAAGAACCAAGGTTTTTTTGGTGACTGATTTGAATTGGATGGATGTGTATTCGGTATTAATTTATAAAGTGACAAGTATTTAAACCTTCAGACTGAATTCTCTTTTCTTCATTTTTATGAAGGGATGTCAGCTTCATGTCTTTTAGAAAGCCCTGGAACCAATAACTCTACCATTAACTTGCCAGCTTCTGACATGAATGAGTGAGAATTTTCCTCTTTTGTCTGAAAATATGGTTTCAGTGCTAGGATTTCAAATCTTAAGCCAAGTTCTTGATGTAAATGAGTTTTACGTGCAGGGGTTATGAGGTGAGGGAGGCCTTAAGGGTACAGATGGAAGTACAGAGTAAATTACATTTGCAAGTTGAGGTAATCCTTTTCTTCCTTTTGTAGATATTTCTTTTTTATGAATGTGGCTATGAAGTAAACAAAAGTGGTGCAGTGCGTATTGAATGCTTCTGGGGTCTTGTGCAATTCCATAGCTACTCTGATCTGGAGAAACTTGTTATGAGGCTTATATAATTGATTGATAGTGGGAAAAGCCCTACTCAATATGTTTGATAGAACCCTCCAGATCAGAGTGTGAAGCCCATAATCAAGCTGGCTAATGTTATTATGTGTCCTATTTAGGCTGAAAAACACTTGCAGATTCGCCAGGACGCAGAACGAAAATATATGGCCATGCTTGAGAGAGCTTGTAAGATGCTTGCTGATCATTTTATCGGAAGTGTTGAAGTTATCAAAACAGATAACCTGGAAGTTGGTAATAAGATGCTGAGAAATTATTCAGTGGATCCACTTGGATTTTACTCTGCCCAATCTACTGAGGTCGTGAATGCATGCGGCCAAGAAGAAGAGATGCCAACCGGTCTGCTTTCTCAGAGGGCTGATGGTTCTACCGAAAGCTGCCTAACTTCACAGGAGAGTCCGGGAGGATTGACAATGGAAGGATCTGCTGTTGAAGGGAAGAAAAAGGTGCTCAACTTGGAGGGAACGGCAGGATCTGTGATCTGGAGTGATGCCAGGGTTAATCCCCAAGGGCTAACTGGATTTGGACTGTAGAGATGTAAAATGAGTGCTACTTTCTGTTTGCTCAAGTTATTACATTATCAAGTGCAAATGTGGTGATCTATCGGTGTCCGGTAGTTGTCTCAAAATTGTAAATCCAAGTTGCTTATGTTGCCTCTAGGTATCAAACATTTAGTCAGTCTCTTGAACATATTGACTTGTGTTGATTTGATCAGAAATCGATGTGATCTCTGAACTCCAAACTCTAAATGCAATTCTTAGTTTTCGATCTCAACTTGTGATTTTGCATGCATCGAAAGTTGTGTTTCAATGGAGGTTTGTATACAGGATATATGGTTTTGCAGCGAAATTGAAGACTGCAAAGCATGCTAGTTTCCCAAAATCTAGCGTGAAGACGAAGATCTGTGGAGGCCACAAGTTGCAGTCTCGAAGAGTAGAAATCTCTGTAAAAGCTAATACGAGAGCTTCCGGCAGTTTTGGAGATGAAAAGGCATGATTTAGACAAGTTTGAGTTCGACTCGAGCCTCGAGTTGAAAGTGATTTCTCAAGTCTTGTGCGAGTCGAAAGATGAAGCTATATTAGGACTGTTTATTTTCTGGGTAAACTAAGTTTTGGTCGTTCTACTTCGTTTGTATTTTTATTTTGGTCTTTCAACTTTAAAATTTATTATTAAACTTTAGATTTTTGCTCATTTATGTGAAAACCTCTTGAAACTTTCCTCTTAATCGGTGTTTGAGCATTTTTTTTTTCAAATTTGAATTGTGAGAAGAAAGTTAATATATACCGATTCTATATTGATCAGATTGTTGAGATTTTAAATTAGATAAAAAAAAATGTTGAAGCTTTAATTTGAATTTTATTAATTTTGAGAAAAAAAATAAAAGAATAGAAAAGAACGTTTTGATATCAATTTTGTAATAAAAGATGGATAATTATAATCAATTGGCAGTTAAAAATGATTTGGATTATGGGAAAAGATACAATTCTACAATTTTATATAAAAGACTCAAAATATAATATTTTGACGACGATATTAATAATTAATGATCGAATTATTAAAATAAATTAATTCTGTAACTTTAGCAATAAAATTGATTTTTAATTAAATGATTAAAATAGAAATACATACAAAAATGAGTGATTAAAATTATGGGTAATCTCTTTTTTAAGTATTCATATTGGAAAATTTTTAGTAGGGATGTGATCGGATTTTTCATGAACTTGTCTTTTATTTAAAAATATGTTTTTGATGAATCTGAGATATAAGATAATATAATATCTTGTTCAAAAATAACTCTCAAATATTTGAGATTTAAGTTTATATTCTTGATGTTTGAACTCGAAACTTCAAATAATAATAATAATAATTCTTCAAATAATAAAAATAATTCTTGACTTAAATATACAAAAAGTGCTCAATCTATGCTCGTTTTATCAGTTTAGTGCCTAACGTTTCATTTTGTGACTCAAAATGAGTCTAACCGTGACGGACATTTGACCGTTACCCTATTAAAAATGCACGTGGCATATAATTTTCAACATGACTCCACCTCCTCATTTCATCTTATTTCTCTTCTTACTATCATTCTCTTCATCGCTTACCTCCAGGTAAGGACAATTCCATACCTCCGCCGTCTCCGGCCGCGACGTTACCTCGTTTTTCAATTCTTCGAACGCTTACCATTCGGCACTGTCGATGTTCCAAGAGCACATGGAAGTTCTGGCCAAAAAACCAAACGCTAGAATCCTCGTTAACACCTTCGATGCTTTGGAACCGGAAGCATTAAACGCCATTGAAAAGTTCAAAATGATCGTTGTTGGACCCTTAATCCAATCATCTTTGGATAGTTCATTAAGAGTCGACATTTTCCAGTGCAACTCAAATGATTATCTCCAATGGCTAAACTCGAAACCAAAATCAAGTGTCGTTTACGTATCATTCGAGAGCATTGTCGTTTTAGCAAGGCAACTAATGGAGGAAATCGCTTGATCTTTGATATCCAGTGGGCGGCCATTTTTGTGGGTGGTGAGAAACCAGAAAGCTAGGGGAGAAGAAGAAACCGAACAAGATAACTGAGTTGCAGAGAAGAATTAGAGAAGTTCGGGATGATAGTCCCATGGTGTTCACAAGTGGAAGTTTTGTCTCATCCATCGTTGGGTTGCTTCGTGATTCATTGCGGGTGGAGCTCGACGTTGGAGAGCTTGGTCGTCGGTGTGCCGACGGTAGCGTTCCCTCAGTGTTCTGATCAAGCAACGAATGCGAAACTTATTGAAGATGTGTGGTGAAGCTCTTGGAACTTCGACTGTGCCGAATGGTAAGCGAATGGATTTCGGAGCAAAATATTAGGAGAAGGTCAATGGGGTGACCAAAATACAAAAGCTCTAAAAGTTTGGAGATTATTTATATATTTTATCCTGAAAAATATGTAAGGGGATATTTTTAATAGGTTAACTATCAAATTTACGTCATGGCTGGAACTATTTTGCCTCACAAAATGAAATTTCAGGTATTAAACTGGAACAAAATAAACGTTAGGTACTAAACTGAAAAAATAATCATAGATTAGATACCTTTTATATATTTAAGCCATAATTCTTTTATGAGTGAGATTATTTCGTTCGTGGTTATTTAAAAATAATTAAAGTGAAATAACGGGATAAGGAAGTAAGCACGACGGGGGCGGAAATGGAAAGGCAGATTAAAAAAATAAGATAATAATTTATCGATTTTGATAATATATTTGGTAAAACGTTATCTAAAATATTTTTGTATTGAATGTATTATTAAATCCGATAAAACACCTAATAATTATAAAATCGATAAAAATAATAATATTTTCTGTATTTTTTTACCGATTTTATTAAAAATAATAATAACTAAAACGATAACGTCTTTTCTTAATTATATATTAAACTGTCAAACGTGACTCATAACCACGAAGAGGAAAAAGACATATATTGCCGGAATAATTTAAGAATGGACGGAATATAACTAGGTAGATTCCGTGAATGGCCGGTCGCTACATGCCATTCTCCTATTTCATTATCATCAACAAATATTATATTTATTTATTTATAAACATTTACAATTATGTATTTTCCAAAATATAAAATGATAAAACTTTGAAAATAAATAAATGTTATATATCTCGTAACCAAGAATGACAGAATGGCAATAGGAAGTAGAAAAAATAAATTATTTGTTTTAATTTTGAAGACTGCTATAAAAATAAATGAATCGTTTCGTTTCCCCCTTAGGAGAGAACAAAAAGGAGAAGAAATAATAAGCGTCTGCTCAGCGTCTTTGGGCTTTTTCTCCGGCTTTGGATTTTGGGGTCCAAAAATTGCAAACTCCGCTTTTGCTGAAATATTTAAATTATAGTTGAAGTCATCGTGAAAAAGAAGTTATGGTGGGATGCTCGTAGATCTGCTTCTGGTATGCTTTCATCCTTTGGGTCTCCGCAAACTTTAGCTTCTTCATCTTCACCTCCAGCTTTCGTTTTCACTCTCTTTTCTATTTCGATTCCGGGGTTAAATGAATGGAGTAGAATTAGGAATTATGTTTGGTTAGCCTGTAATCTGGTGTGATTTAGGGTTTTAAATGATAGACCCTTTTAGGACTTCGACAACCATCTTCTCTTTTCTGACCTAAGAAAAAATTCCCCCTGTTTTCTTCATACTTTTTTTAATTCTATTGAACGTTATTCATATTTCAAGTATACAATAACAATCAGCTGGACGTCACTTCAATTTTCTGTTTGTACAAACTGAATGCATCTAATGATGATAATTATTAAGTTAGTAACCTTGGAAAGTGTCATTAGAGTGCTCTTGAGGAAAACACTGAAATAACAAAAAAGCGGAAACACTAAGGGGTTGGCCAGCTAATGGTGCTAAACATTTGTCTGGGTCTTTCTTAGTATGGAATCTATTAGTGCTTTGCATTTATTACACTCTGTATGAATCTTTTTACTCCCCTTCATATGTAGATGAACTACAAATGTATCAACCAAAGAATGTTCCAGGTTCAAGTTTAGTTCATAGCAACTCGATAGTTCATGGTCAACATTTAGATTGTGGTGCTAGCTCAATGGACCCAGTAAGTGGAGGAAGCAGCCTCGCCAACAACCCAAATCTTGCATCAAAGCAACGATTACGCTGGACACATGAGCTTCATGACCGTTTTGTTGACGCTGTAGCTCAACTTGGTGGGCCAGATAGTGAGTCTTGTCAACGGTCTCCCTTGCTATTAATTAATTCTTATCCTGAATTTGTATGTGCTTGCAATTGACTAGATTGGCCATTGAATTGAAAGAAAAAAAAACTGCAAAAGGTTGGAAATTATGCTGCCTATATTTTGGTGCAAGATTGTAGTAAGAATTTTTAGAAAGAAGTAAAAGCAATTTGCTAAGTTCGTGGAAACATAAATGGTTAAAAGGGGTTTCATAACTTGAGCATCTCTCTTTCATCTAGTCTTTTGTTTGTTGAAAGTTATCTATAAAATCATTTCTTGTTAAGTAGCACGAGAAACCATTAGGTACCGTGGTGGCTTTAATTTTTATATGGACTTGTTTATGTTTATGCAGAAATCTTAATTACCGTAAAATTTTCCTGTTTATATATGGTAAAGGTCTATAATGGTGAACGGGTTTCTTTCTTTTTACTCTCTCAGGAGCTACACCAAAAGGAGTTCTTAGGGTCATGGGTGTGCAGGGTTTGACAATATACCATGTCAAAAGTCATTTACAGGTATAATTCTTTTGTCAACCTAATGAAGAACGATATTTATTTATGTACATGGGTTCAGAGTTGCCCCAGGAAGTGAGGATTTTGTTGAATAGTTCATTTATTATCTATGGCTTTTCTTGACCTTACTTTTCTGATCCATCCAGAAATATCGACTTGCTAAATATCTCCCTGATTCTTCTTCTGATGGTAGGTTTATAACCTATTTCTTTTTATTTTTAATGTAGATGTAGACTGATGTTTAAATTGTTGTTGCTGTTAAGTTTATTCTTCATAATTATAACTTGAGTTATTTTGTACAAAACCTTTCTTCTTGATATTGTTTGTTTATTCTATTTCTGAATGAAGGTAAAAAGCCTGACAAAAAGGAAACTGGGGATATGCTTTCCAATTTGGATGGTTCGTCGTGAGTAAAGCTGTAGCTTTTTCGGTTTTATTTTTGTTTTGAAAATTTTCTTTTTCATATATATTCACCTATTGGAGTTGGGTATGCAAAGCATTCCCGTCTAAATATGTGGTGCAGGTATTTAGTTAGATATTGGCTGTCAGTTTGGTACCTCAATTCTTGTTTGTTTTAAAGAGTTTAAGAAGTAGGGGCCAGGTTACATGTTATCACCACTTGTTACTATTCCTTGTATTAAGAATCAATATGGATATTTCAATTATTTCCTTTTTTGTCCCACAATGTATAAAAACTCAGTATTGTACATCTGAGGAAGGATTGTGCACTTTAGATGATGAAAATATCTTTTCATCTTACATAGGTTGATCAACATGAGTTGCATAGAGTTGAAGGTTTTTTTCCCTGATTGCAGGGGCATGCAAATTACTGAAGCTCTGAAGTTGCAGATGGAGGTGCAGAAGCGCTTGCATGAACAATTGGAGGCATGTATTCTCAATCCAAATTTAATATATTATTTTGGTTATTATGTTTATTGGGCTCTACTTGCTTTTCTGAGTTTCATAGTGTTGAGTGTCAGCTACGTTCAGATATTATTTTTCTCTGTATTCATTATAAACCTGGAGCAATTTTGCAAATTTCTATTCACATATTAGACACATGCTTTAAGTTTTAGGTGTTTCATTTGTTTTCTCAAATCACAGATTTCATACCTCTGATATACGACAGGTGCAGAGACAGCTACAGTTACGGATAGAGGCTCAAGGAAAGTATTTAAAGAAGATTATTGAAGAGCAGCGTCTTAGTGGAGTCCTTGGAGATGCACCTGGCTCAGGAGCTTCCATCCCAGTGTTGGGTGACAGTGGCCTGGAATCTGACAAGAAGACTGACCCTGCAACTCCAGCCCCAACTTCAGAATCCCCTTTGCAGGATAAGGTTGCCAAAGAAGGAGTTTCTGCCAAGAGCCACTCTGTTGACGAGTCTTTCTCCTCTCATCATGAGCCTTTGACCCCAGATTCTGTTTGCCATGTGGGTTCCCCAGCAGGGAGTCCTAAGGGAGAGAGGTTGAAGAAGAAGCAACGGGTGAGCATGACTGCAGCATATGCTAAACCAGAGATTGTACTTCCCCACCAGATACTAGATTCGAGCTTAAATGCCTCCTACCAACAAACTCAGTCAGTTTTCATGGGAGAGCAATTTGATCCTTCATCCGGGATATCGATGAGAAATGACAATCAATCGGGGTAGGCTTCAGGAACGGAGCTGTAGTTTATGTGCTACATGGTAAATGTTATCAGTTTCATTTTGGCCGTGTATTTGCCAGATGGGATTTCTGATTAGGTCAAAAAGAAAAACTTGTTAATGTCTGTTGTATGAGATAATTAGGCGGAAGCAAATCGATCCCTTTGTCCTAATATATCTAGCTTCCATATAGTGTACTGGAATCAATTAGAATAGAAATGAGAATTCACAGTGAACAGTGGTGGGGAACTTGGCAGTGCCATGTCTATCAGTATCTGATACTGTGATTGTTGTGTATCTTGGTTTAAGGTCGTAGGACTTGGGTGGCTTTAATTGGTTATTGTGAATTACCACTGTTACCGTTGTTGGTTTTAATCCTTTGATTAATTTATGAAAACTTAGTAATTTGAGTTTGCACCAATCTTGAAAAGGGGTTTTGATATTCCTTTTTAGGGCAAAACCTGTCAATTATGGCATGGGTTATAAATATTGCATTTCTACCATATAAATTATTTGATATGCTTTTAAAAATTAAAGATTGTTTTGATTCTACTGATTCAAATTAGACATTCTCATTATTAATGTAATATTATAATTTTAAATTAGATTTAAAATTTTAATTTAAAGTTTTTTTAAAATTCGGGCCTCATTATTTTACCCAGTTAAATACGTGAAAATAAAAAATATATATATCTTTTCATAAAATATTTTACCAACAAACACGCTAATTATAAGTTAAAATTATTAAATTGATAAAATTTTGATGATTACATGTTTTTCATCCTAATAAACAAATCTTTCTTTTTATTTATCCATTTCATTTTAGGCGTTTAAAATTTGATTTCATCCGCAAGATACGGCACTGCCATCTAATCGAAGTTAAATCAAGTCCACCAATCGTCCACAATTCGCAGAAAGTAAATAACTCCCGACGCCATGTCCAGCTCCGATCCTAACAAGCTCGTCTCAAAAGCCGACTAGCCGTAAGACTCCTCTCTGTCTCTCTACAGAGCTCTTACTTGTATGTTTATTCGGAGATTGTGTTGTAATTTAGCTTAAGATTCTTAGATTTGAACTTTTCGATTTTTTTTTGTTTTTGAGTTTGTTTTTTATATGCAATTTCCTCACCTGTACTGTTAAAGGATCAAATTGATTTGATGTAGATAAGGGAAAATTTGGAAAACTGAATTAATCAGCATCCCGCAACTTGAATTGATCAATATTTCCTACTGTTTTACTCTGTTTATATTTGTAGAACAAAGCTAAGTCTTACGAGGTGGAGTGCTGATTGGAAAAGTGCTACTTTTTTTTACGAACAAGCTGGTATGCTATCTACTTATTATTCAACCTCCAGGATCCTTATCCAAAATATTCGGTCCATACTTTAATGAAATTTCTACAATAAAATGTAGTACGTAAATTGTTTCTGCCATTTTTAGAATGGATCAGATCTGAAGGCAGACCTGGTATTCTCGGGTTCTGCAAGATGAAAATGAACTAATAGGCGCCAGAGCTTGAGCTCCGTGACGCACTCCAATGCTTAAGTCTGTCCAGGATCCATGGTTATGGATATTGTACAAAATATTAGCTTAGTAGAGAAGACGAAGAAGATTGAAGCTAGGATATCCAAAAGATAAAGATGAGATACCCTTTTTAGGGTTCTAATACCTTTCATTTATGCTTGGCATTGGACTTGTGTATTACTGGGCCTTTTACTTGCTAATTAGTTGGGCTGGTCATGAAATTTTAGCTATGGGTATGATGGCTTTTTCGTTTTGCTCATGATGTATGTAGCAATTGGATTTCGAGTTTCAAGAGATTGAGAAAGCAAAGTTGGCATTTGAGAAAGCTTCCAAAGGGCAAGAGATGCTATCTTCGTATCCTTAATCACTTTCTTTCACTTTTTTATTATCCATTTTGTATGATATGCTTACTTTATAAGCAACAGTGAATCTACATATGTACCAAAAAAGAAAAGGCAAATATATCTCCATTTTGCATCCTTTATAAGCAACAGTCCCTGGGATGCTGCTAAACATATGGAGTCTGCTTCTGATTTAGCGAAGGAACTACGTAACTGGACTGAGGTCATTGACTTTTATAGAAGGGCATCTGAGCTATATATGCAGTGTGACAAACCACAACCTGCGTCTGATTCACTTGCCAAGGCTTGCCCGGTACAGACATTGTTTAAACTTTATGTTGTCAGAATTCTGATTTTACAGCATGTCAACTATACTAATCTCCAGTTCAGGTTTTTCAACTATGGCTAGTACTTTAGATGGAACTTAACAGAAGTTTTCCATCAAAGATGAACTTGCACAATTAAGTTTTTTTTTGTTGATCTTATATGGTCGACAGAAGTTGATTTCTATTTTTTTTATAAAAAGGGATATCTCGTTAAAAATCCCCTTCATAACCATCAAGCAACAAAGACTCGACGGACATCGGAAGGAGGAAAAGAGTGCCTTAGTAATTTTATTGCTTATTAACCAAGTATAATAAGATCACACTACCACCCAAAAAAGATGGTAGCCCACTCAACATAGTGCAAAACAACACTACCTACATGAATAAGTTTATACCCTACAACAAAACAACGTCATAGGTTAATCAACCAATTACAAACAAATATCATTCCCTAATTTTCCCGATATAACAATAGTAGACAAACAACAACCCAATTAATTCCCTATCATTTAATCAATCCCTTGTTTGACAAATTCATCCGCTTCACAATTAGCTGCTCTCGCCGAACAATGACCCCTTTATTGACCACAATGTATGCTATATCTTTAACAGTTGATATAAACATTGGAGTGGAGCTTGCTGGATTTTTTATCCACTTCACTACTACCACACTATCAGACTCCAAAATAAGCCTTCGATTTACCAACAAATCCGAATCCATGAACAGATTCAAGCCTCTCCTCATTGCCATCAATTATGCCATAATAGGAGGACCGGATCCCACTTTTTCTGAGAATGAACCCAACATCACTCCTTTCTCATCTCTGATAAGCCCACCAATTCCTCCCTTCGGCCACCACCTGTCCATAGCACCATCAACATTCAATTTAACAAAATCAATTTCTATGAACCAATCCGTGAATATGCCATTATAGTTTTTTTTAGTTCTGCATTATCAATCCGTGAATATGCGATTTGATTTGAATTGGCTTTCAAACATTATAATTTACGTTATGCAAGAAAATATCATGAAAAACACTTATATCTTGATATTTTAATGAATTTTGAAGAAGAGCCCAAATATTGTGGATGTGGAATTTTCTGAATTTTCAAATCCAAAGATTCCAGTTTCACTCAATTTTTCCACTTCCAAGTTTGTAAAACTTGGTCTTTATTGTTAGGATGCAGAGAGGGAATGGATATACGTGTTTATGGAATTATTATTGATAACGTGAAGAAGATCGATTCACTATACCAATATGCATTCAAATAAACATTCATGCAGGTTGTCCCCATATATTTTTTTGTATTGTACATTTGTACTTGTATTTTTTCCTAGTGCTTTTCTGCATAATATTTGTCAATATACATGGTGTAATCTATAATCAATTCAAGAACCCTTTAAAAGAAAAAACAAAATTCTCTTTGTTTTGCATCCAATAATCTAGTTACTTACAACATCACCAACTGTTTCACAACTGCAATCTTCTTTTTAATCTCTTAGTACTTGTTCTTGTAGTGCCTTGGAGGATGCTTTGCCCGATGATGCTGTTCAACTCTATACTGATGCTTGTGTTATTCTCGAAGATGATGGAAAGGAACAAATGGCCGTTGATCTGTATCGTGCTGCCGCCAGCGTTTATGTAAAACTTGAGAAGGATTTGCCTCTTAATCTGTTGAGATATAATATATAAATCCTCATTCTTAGGTTTGCGAAATGAAAGTTATACACACTTGTACATCATATGGTTTAATACATTCTTAAAGTAAGAATACTTTTTCCTTTTCTTAAAATAAAGGATTTCAAATGCGTTTATGTGTCTTTTTAACTTATGTCTGGAACTATGGAGTTTGGGTTGAGTAGACTGGAGCATGCGAATTGTGATTCTTTTTAAGCCAATTTTCACCTTTGTTTAATTGCCCATTCAATAGTTTTTTCTTCTGCTTGTCAAGCTACATGTTAACTGCTGACAGCATCCGCTTATCTATGACCGGATGTGATTAATGTCAAATGTGTTGGAATGCCAGTAAGTTTAGAGAACCTGTTCTTAGGAAACTACATTATTTGCTTATGTAAGAAAACCATACATGAGACATTATTTCTGGTTTTTTTATCCTCAGGTACACAGATGCTGCTACTTTCCTTTTGAGGTTGGGCTTAGCAGCTGACGAGTGCGATGCTAGAAATAGTCAGTGCAAGGTGAAACTTTATATTTTGTAGCCAAATTATTAATACATCCATTTCATTTTCCATCCCATTCTCCTTGTTTTATAGATCGGATGATATTATTTTCCTGAGAAATATGATGCGCCTTTTTTCTTTTTACCGATTTCTCTCTAAAATCCGTGTGTGCTTTTAGAAGTTGCAGTGCTGCTTTATGACTTAATTAACTTGCAGTTTAGTTCCGATACACATTTTTTTTGGGTACCTGTATGCAGAAAATTTTATGATTCCAACCCTATTATCTTTTCCTTATTGTGGGTGGTAGGAGAGAAGGCTAAAGTTATCCATGAAATTTTTTAGAAATAATACTCGAACCATTTAAAATATGCCTTCTTTGTGAAATCAAATGCCTATATTTGGCTGGGTATGCAGATCAAGAAAATGCTTTCCAAATAAAATTTCCCAACAAGTTTTGGTTGATCCTGGAAGATGTGACGTAATACCTATTTCCCGGTATTAACTGATAGTTTTTTGAACAAACTGACTTTTTAATAAGATTCTAAGTATTGTAATACCTACGTCCTGGGTAAGATTATTAGCTAAAATAGTGGTTCCTACTTCCTTCAGTTAAGAAGTATGTAGTGCACGTTGCACAGTTCTACGAAAATTTCCCCTTTCCTTTTTATGCACTGTCTCAACAAGTATACCTTTGTATATGTTGGATAAAAACTTAATCCTGAGGCATTATTGGCCCATTTGCCAAGTGATTTGATAAATATCACCTTGTGCAATCATCTGGTGGCTACTGTTCTCATGAACGCTAAACGAACATGCTCTCATGAACACGTTCGTGGACGTATAAACAAATATGTTCACAAATATTAAACGAACGCTAAACGAAAGTGCTCACAATCACTTTCATGAACATATAAACGAATACGCTCGCGAATATTAAATGAACATGTTCGTGAACAATAAATAAACGAATACGAACACCTTCAAAAA